TCAGAAATAATTGGAGCATCAGTTCCAAGCTATCTATATGTGATACAAGTGAAAATTGTAGTTTGGAAGAGAAAAGAATCTGATCAGCTACTGTCAAGTTTCTTTTATCGTCAACTTCAGATGATTCTCTGCTATCAGAAAAACAAATTTTTACGATGGATAATGCTTATGTGCAAGCATATGGCTAAACTGAATGAATTTACTTTCCAAGTTAATGATTCATACATTGGATTGTTCGAAGAAATTTTTTCATGTCGTGTGCATGTTCAATTTTGGCGATGGGTTCATCCAGGTAAAGGCTCATTTTGCGGTCGAATAGGTCAAATGCTCTCAAATGAATAGATCCATACCAATGAACAAATGCCCGTTTGGCGTACATCAAATCGAATTTGTAATCGAGTCGAGCCCACGCCTCAGCGATCGATGTTGTGTTGGCGAGCATGCAAACTGCTCGCTGAAGTTTAGCCAGATCACCGCCAGGTACCACTGTTGGTGGTTGATAGTTTATACCAACTTTGAAACCCGTTGGACACCTTAATCAATCCTAACCTACAGTCGAGCTTCAAGCATACACGATGAAATCACTTTTTCAATACTTGAGAATTTGGAGGAATCGCGTAAGATTTTGTTTGTTCTATAACTCGTATTCGCCACACCAATCGAAACAGCTATCGAGATTTGCCATTGCACCTTATATTTATGATTGGGATTGTGTTAATATGTTGTTATAGATACTGTGATCGATACTACATGCATGAACAGTATTCCGTATTTGTAACAATTGTTGACTATTCGGAGATGCAACTCACCAATCGACGAACTGAATGGAACGTTTCGTTTTTATGCCTGCAATAGCTGAGTTGACATCCTGCAAAGGTTCAGGATAATACCATGACTTAATATGGTTTCATGCAGAATTTGATATTTGATGCTTGTGTATTTTTACAATATGCGTCAAAGTATAAGTGTAAATAAGTATAAGTGTATATAAGTGCTATCAAACTATGATAAGTCTTATATCTGAAGTCTTATCTGAAGTCTGTACAATCTTTAAGAACACTGATGGAATGACGAATGCAGCTATGGTGCCAATTTTATGGGCAAAACTCACTTTTGGTACGACGTCGCCTCTAAATAACAAACAACACGCCATGAATTTGCCTTGTCGCGGATCACATTTAACCATTTGGTTTCCGGGTTCAAAGCATTGACTTGTTATTTCGGCGACTGTTAATTGTTCATGAAATGCCCTTTCACTAAAACAACAAAACAAATGTATATCCGTTCTACTTAATAAACTACCATAGCAATAATAATAATACTAATAGCGTTGCTCACTTGAATAAATGATAGCGATTAGAGCGTTTCACTGAAATGAGCATTCTCAGAATCTCTAAAAACTATTTGATCACTTGCTCGAAATCATGTTTTAAAATCTTTTGCTCATTTAACTGACTGATTCTGAATTTCATTAACACTATTCGGGGAGAATTATAAATTGCTTTTA